CGAGGGGGTTAAGTACCGGTCGTGGGTGGAGGAGGGCAATGGCCTGGGTGCGGTGCCGCTGTCACCGTGCCGCCCCGGCGGGGTTGGTGTGGGAGTGTGGTCTAGTAGTAATTTTAGTAAAGGAGAAGGACTATTTGGTTATGTTTTCATTTAATAAGTTTATTATTTAAATGGAATGTGTAGGTTTTCTAAGCGTTAGTCTGGTGTGGTGACACTTTCCTATAACACAAAAACACGGAACAAGGACACTTGCTTACCTTATTTTGGACCCCTTTCAGAAAAAGTTCGCACACAATATTAACAAAGCAGGTATAAAAGTTTCATTCAAATCACAGAATTCCCTCAAAAAAATGCTGTCCCCCAAAAAACACACAGATCTTCTAGAAAAAAAAGCGGCGTCTATTCTTAAATTGCCACGACTGCGAAGCCAAATATATTGGTCAACAGGGCAGAACTTTCAATAACAAGCAATCAAGACACATACATGCTTGGAAACACAACACTGTAATCTCACTTTGCCAATCATGTACTCCAGACAGACCATACATTCAATCCACCACACAGACAGTCGTAGTTATTGTAAATAGAAACCACTACCACACCAGACTAACCTTAGAAAACCTACACATTCAATTTAAATAATAACTTATTAATGAAAACATAAACAATAGTTAGTCCTTCTGCTTACTAAAATTACTACTAGACACCACTTCCCACACCACACCCCGCCGGGGCGGCACGGTGACAGCGCACCGCACCCAGGCCATTGCCCTCCTCCACCTAGAGTCCACCTAGAGTCCATGGCATGAGGTTGAGGATATAAAGCATCCAAAGTTTGATTACACAGATGGACACAACTTACTCCATCAAAATAATGTATTTACTTGCGAAAATAGGATTAAAGCGAAAGGTCGCCTCAGCACCCTCTACATAATATAAGAACTATTAAAGAATAACGTAATACAGAAAAGTATAATAAATCAGACATCCTGTGCAGCATGTTTCTTTAATTAAAATAGATATAACTCTCATTAATCATAATGTCTAATTAATTTAATTTTTTCTCTTTCAGTGGAGGAGCTCTCGGTCACCAGAAAAGAAATTTCGACAAATTTGATAGATTGTCTTTGAACAGTTTCGTCAAGAAGAACTTCGACGAAATCGATCGCACCGGATTCGATAGCTTCGTCAAGAGGAATTTCAACGAAATCGACAGCACCGGCTTCGACAACTTCATCAAACGAAATGCACCAGCTCTCCTTTGGCGATATTATAGAAATCACAACCACTGAATCACCAAATCGAACATTTCTTTCTTCTTTAACCTATATCTCGACGTTGGCTCAACTCATGGCTCAGTTTTCTACTCGTTTCATATCGATGACTCGGCAATGAATTTTTCGAGAAACTCAAAATCATACATCACTAATAATCTTAAAGAAGTGGAATTATTTAATTATGGATCCAAAAAATTTACGTTCTCTTTTGCTTTATTATTTGGAAACTGAGTTGTTATTATTATTATTATTATAAGACAAATAAAACAATAAGATCAGATACAAAATATAACGCGCACAAAATATTAATACATTTGTTATAAACGTTGTACATCATTTTGGAACAAAATTGTTTCTCATTGTCCTTTTGTGCATTAGCAGTTCGTCAATATTTTGTGTGATTTAGACGTCAGAAATAACGCCAATGAGGAATCGGTGTAGAGGCACGTTTCAACATAAGTTTTTTTTTATATAAAGTCCTTCACACCACTTCCCTTGTTATTTATCTTGACAAACATACAAAATTACAAAATAACTTTAATTTTAACCAAAACCGTTGTTATTCTTACTTATTTTGATGTCAAAGTGATGTTAAGTGACTCGTTAAATGTTAAAATACGCCTGGCTCATTTTAACCAAAGATAATATACCTTGATCTTCATTCTGCGTAATGAAAGACTGCAAGGAAAACATTTTCAAACTACATGGCACTACATAAATATTAAACAATAATAAAAAGAATGTTCAAATGAAATATGATGCAGCAATATGCTCAAGGCGATATGTATTAAATTCTATATATTATGTATCCAACATTCAATAAAAATATTTTAAAAACAATATTTTTAAGAAGATTTCATTAGATGTTATGAAAGCTGATACACAAATAAATAATTTAAATGAGACGTTACAGTCATTTTAAATAATAAATTATTTAATTCTAGTGGTCTGTAGTAGCAAAAATACTGCTCGCATGTGTGTGAAATATGGGGACATGAAGCAGCAAAATGTGGCTGCTCTGAAAGGGGACACTTGAAGAGCTAAGCTTCTTTCTTCCTTGTCAAATAACGTCAGCTGTGGTGTAAACAGTGATGCAACGAGTTCGAAAATTCAGTGGGTACGCGCAATATCAGAATAGGTTTAACGTCACAATCAAATAGGTGCACTTTTTCAGTCAGAATCAAAATTGTTTCATTATTTTTGGTTTCACTTAGAGTTCCTGGGTATACTACAAAACCATTGCTCTCATATGGCCACAGAGTGCTTTGTTTTACGTCAATTTATGTCTTTATTCAAAATTAGTAATACAAAAGATTCTGTAGAAGTTAGGAATATATCTAATATAATTACACTGCAGCTGGAATTTCAGATATGATTAATTCGGTAAATACTGGGAAACAGTTATAACTTTCTTGCAGTTGCAGAAAGGAAATTACTGACATTCAGTAATTTCACGCTTACACAAAAATTACGTTGTTCTGATTGTCTTTCAATTTTAAGTCATAAAAAATTATACACTGATTTTTCCTCTACCCAGTAATGGTAGCATTATTTGGAAAAACAGAGTATTCATTGAAGGGCTTTATATTTGCTTTTTAAAGCATCTAAGGCGCTTTCCTCATTTCTGTGCAACAAGTCAACTTCTGCAGAAGCACATCTGATTCTCTGGCATCGTATTCGTTTGATAAATGCGCTCCCCACAATCACCAGAAACTGCATCACTATTTTCCGAGAAAAGTTCAAATGCGCGCGAAAAAGGTGGTGTTGTTTTTTAAGAAATGGCATCATATTTGAAAAAAATCATTTAGAATTTTTTAAATTTCTTCGACGTTAAGAGTTTAATAGTTTCCCAGAAAATTGAAGGTTACTTCTCTAAACGATCTCCTAGAATTTTCTTGACTTACTTGTCAGGAGTTCGTAAAACTGTTTATCAGTAAGCTGAATAGTGTGTTTCAGAAGATACTTTATATTTTAGTGTGACTGAATGCAATCTACCTACGGCCAAACATTGCATCTCTGAAACAAACATTGCTTTTGTGAAGCAATCTTTACTTTTTTTAAATGTTAGAAAAAATAAAAATAATGTAAAAAATTGTCAGGTCTATTTACAGCATCGCTAGGTATTGTTGTTACAAGATAATACGTGTATTGCATTGCCGAAACAGTAAACTCTTGTAATCAATTAGGGATATAAAAATTCTCGAAACACAAAACCAGCTAATTTTCTGGGTATATTTCGATACACAACTAAAAGACATGCCTTTGAATGATTGCAGCAGCCCTTCAGTCATAGATGTCATCCCGCCCCAAGGACTCTACCCTGAAAAGCTCCCCAATGATTGCCTGCACTCCTCCAGAGCACTTGAGAAGAACTTTCAGTTCGAAGATGCTGAACGAATCTCCGCCAGTATTTTCAAAACGAGACCACTGTTGCCATTTGTATGTGGTACCCATAAACAGATGTAGTAATTAGCTTAATACAAAATAATTCAGAAATAGTTTCTTTCATTACCAAAACAATCTGACTGTCGAAAAATGTAACGAAACAATTCAAAATATCAGATCACATAATATGATCACGACAGTTTTCCTAAATGAGTGCCTAAGAAAATAAATACTAAAATTACAAATACATTAACACAAGATACAAAATAATTAAGGCAGCAAAACATACATATTCTCTCCTTGTGAAAAAGAATACGTCTCAGTCTCTTTGTATCTCTCTCTCTCCCTCTCCGTCTCTCTCCCTCTCTCTCTCTCTCTCTCTATCCCTCTCCGTCTCTCTCTCCCCCTCTCTTCATTCAAAATATGTAACATTTTCAGGAGAGCCATTTAAAGGTTTTGATTTGTTGTAGCTTTGTTACGTACACATTTCACAATACATCCATAGAATAATTTGATAGAATGAACCTTCGATAATATTATTCGATACTAAGATAACTCAATAAATAGCTTGGTCTCTCCGTACAGTCGTTTATTATACCCTCTGTCAGACTTGGGTCATTGTTGCTGCTAAATACTGTGCTGGTGATAAGTATTATATTGAAATTGGACATTGTCACCAAACTAAATTGTTTTACGATAAGTTGTGACTGAATATTAACACAAAATGTTGTATATTCAGGCCAAAGGAATCAACAGTTCGCAATAACAATGTCGCTTTATTCCAAAATCCAAGAGCATAAAAACAAATCAAAGCCAGTTCGCCGTTTACCAGTAGATGTCCCTTTACAAGCACAATAAATCACCCACCAGGAGAATAGCCTCACAACACCCCTAACAACCTAACAACACTTGGCACTAACTCGCTCACATGGCTCACACTCTGCACTATCTCGGTACTGTGACTGCTCCGGCCTCTCGGGCCGGCCGCTTTTTACCTCCCGAGCCCGTGGAGCGAGTCTCCATTTTCTCGTGCCGGTCCGGCTCAGTGGGCAGCCTCGTCGCCGCTGCCGCCCTGCCACCTGGCGGCGCCTCCCAGCAAATCTCTGCTGGACCTAACGCTCGGTCGGTCAGTGCGCCACCCAGGGGGTTGTTACTTAATAGCTGGTAAAACGTCCTTATTTGAAAGTAGTGGTGGGAGGGACAAGAGAGTGGTGGGAGGAGACGTTGAGAGGGGAGGTAAGTTCGCCATTATCTGCACCCTGGAAAGTGGCGCTGTACAGGGGCTTTTGCGAACTAATTTAAAAGCAGAACGTTTGATTTTGTGGATTTGTTCGGCTAAAGGACGACGTATACGACGGTTTCTCTTGTTTGTTCGCATTCTCCTGCACGTTTCCGAAGTGATTGATTTTTTGGTTGTTTGGCAATTTTAGTAAGAAATGCGAAATATAGGCGTTGTTGGGTTCCCAATTGCCACAATAACAAAAGGGGAAATGCGGAAAAGACAAGGTTGTTTTCTTTTCCAAGTTAACCTGAACGGTAAGTGAAATGGAATATATGGCATGATTCTTAGAAATCGGTTTAAACATTATTCGAATAATTGATATTTTTTATATATTTCGAATAACCTGTGGCTATTTTTAAAAACATCTAATTTTGCTAACATAACCTAATAGTTTTAACAATTGTTAACAAACAATTTATTATTTATAGTAATTTTTATACCAACAACCTTAAATCTAATACTTATTTTGTTTCGTATTATTTAGTAATTTATGTAATACAAGCATTATTATATAATATAGGTGTATGAATTGGTGATGGCAATTGGAGACGCCACATTGGCTGTTTCCCATTGCAAAACCTGATACACAGAATGTATGTGTTCATGGAAACATTTCATGCCTAGAATGTTGACTGCAGCAGGAGAGGCAGGGTGGAATGCAGTACCTATCATATTCAATGATGTGCGTCCTGAATGGCAAGAAGAAACCACGTAAAATAAGCCATTAATTCAATTCAATTCAAGAAGCACTCAGAACATTTTTAGAAGGCATACCACCAGACAGGCGTAAGTTATGTTTTTAGCCTCTATTAAAAGAAATAAGACATTTTTCCAATTACCATTTGTATTCAGATCAAAGACCCTGTTCTTTGATTTGCAGGGCCAGCTCACCTTCTCTGAAGTCACAGTCACATGTCATCCAATGTCCCGGCATTCCTGGTGAGTACAAAACCATTTTTTTCACATTTTAGTGATGCACGGTTCCTTTTTAAGTCAATAACACCTCCTCGTTTGGTGTTACAGATTCTTCTCCTCGGCTGGAGAGGAGAGAACAGAACCTGTGGGGGATTATTGCAGCTCACCTCTTCAATGTGCTATGTTTCTAAGAAAATGTGTGCTTGCTTCTCATGTGCATATATGAGGAAAAAAACACTGATGACATGAAATATTATACCGTCATATTTTGGTAATCTCTTGGTATTTGCTGGATGACAATTATAGATATTGGGATATTGAAATGACACTATAAGTAAGTAGTAGTATTTTCATGAGTGATTTACATTACTCCAATGTCATCCCTAAAACAATATTTTAATAATTTATATAAGTCATATTTAAATGGAGTGAGAATATGTGAGTTAAGTATGGATGTAAATGATATAAACAGCAGCCATAAATACCGAATTTTGAAAGTCCAGATAGTTTACTTTCATATAACCGCTTTTTCATATAACAATATTTCTAACACAGAATTATGCTGTATATAGCACAAACATGTATTCTTATGTATGACATAATATCTCTCCTTCTAACACATTCTGTGATGGATTTTTTTCTTGTGCATTATCCTAATTGAATACGTCCAAACTGCAGGACTCCAATATTTCATTAATCCAAAAGAATAGAAGAAATTTGTCATAGCAATGTAAATAAATCAGAAACGATACTTGAATCAACTTGGTGACTTCACTTTCCTACACAAGATATATACAAAATGAAGATGTTTTTTGTGTTTTATATAATAAAAAGATAATTTTGCAGGATAACTATCTCATGTTATGCTGTTAATTTATAATTATTACTATTTTTCTTACATGTTTGCCTTGTTACTATATACATAGCTCATTGGATTAACAGTTTGGGATTGTTACTTGGAAATTATATTCCCTTCTAACATTTTCACAAATGCAACATGACTATTATGAGATTTGTTTTGGAATCGTAATAATTTTAAGTATGTTTTGTATTTTTATATTTAGTTATATAACACGTATCTACATCAATATAAACTAATACTATAAATTTTCCATTTCCTGTTGCACATTTTCAAACCCCTTAAACTGGTTGTTGGATATAAAGGACTGACCCAGCTAGGCACGAATCTATAAAGAATTTCTTTTTTATTATCATTATTGATATTTAAATTAAGTCTTCTTACACTACCATGTATTCAATATTTACCTTTCCATGATATTGTATTGAATACAGAATTTAATTTATGTCTTATATTCAATTTTTAGAAATATCTCTATTGTGTATTGTATGCTTATATGTATATATTAATTTATACTGACTTGTCATGCATGGCGTATGTTGTATTTGTGACAAATTTTATTATTATTTTTGTTTTGTTTAGCAGCAGTGATATTAAGTATAATGATAGTATCACAAATGATGATCGACCACGATTTGTTCCTTTGTTTCTCATACAGGATTTTTCATGCACATTGTTATTTTTTGTACATGTACCAATTTTCAAATAAATATTATTTATGTAAAATACCTTTTTTAATTTTCACTTCCTATCATTACAATTTACTTCACTTCCTCACAATTACATATCCTTTAGAATTACTGACTTCTACATTACCTTGGGCATTCATTTTTATGTCAAATACATTTTATTAGTAACATAACCAGGTCCGCCATATTGAAAATTTACTAAATAATGTAATTTCAAATAGCCGGTTCACGTACGTCCTCCATTTCAATTGGTTTACTGCCTTTCGACGCTTATTGGCTGGCGGGGGTCAATATGGCTGCCTTTTCTCATTCGTTGTTTCTGTTGGGGTGGGAGTTTTCGAATTTCTCCCTCCACGAAAATAAGGGCCTTTCCGTTTAACATTGATGCGTCTCTGATATATACTCTCTGATCGCTAACTTCAATGAACGCTTTTGCTCGTTGCCGCGCGGCCTTGGGTGGTCATATGGGGGATATAATTTTTCATACATAAATGGGAAAAGTTACTTAATGTGTTTGTAAAAACAAAATTACATTTACATTAAATTTTATATGTTCTAGAGTATTTTAATATTCGTCCTTTTTTCCTGGACATTCTGTATTTATAAATCAATAATCTTAAACAATTGTATTTATTTTTTCACAATAAATCATTATTAACAGATAAAGCATGTATAAATTGGTAACAATATCATCTCGCATTATTAACACAAGCCAGCAGATAACTTTTGGCACAAGACTACAGATAACTTTTAATTTTGTGTTTTTCATTTGCTCTCCACGCACTTTAATATCTTTCACGTTCGCACTTGCTGATAATGATAGCAACTATTATTTTGCCTAATTGTTCACCGAATTAATATTCGTTTGCAGATTAAAATTGTGTTTATTTCTAACTAAAAACGAGACAGGTTATTGAGCTATTGTGCTCTTCCTCCGCCCTAGGAGTGAATTACAACAAACAAAAAAGCGAGAGTTGATCGGAATGATGTGGTTGCGTAGCCTTCCACGGTCGGAATTTGTGTTATCTTGACTACCCGGGATGAGCCGCGTCACTGACATGGTGGCTAACGTTTCGGCCAGCGTATTGTGGCCTTCCCCAGAGCGTAGGGTCACAATACGCTGGCCGATACGTTAGCCACAATGTCAGTGACACGGCTAGTCCCGAATGGCCTAGATAAGATCGGAATGATAGTTTCATATGTTGCCTATTCCGACAAGAAATCCTTTCAGCTGCCATATTGCGAAAATAGTGGGGCCTATTACGCGGCCTGAACTATACCTCACATTACGGCAACGTTTCATTTAATTGTGATACTTATTGTTTCTCCGTTGTTGTTGTTTTTTGTGTGTTTGTCTGCTCACCACTGGGCTCTACCACTTTTGTTTTTTTAACTAAAACTATTCTTTAAGGTATTTACAATTTTTTTAATCTTTCCTTTCCTCCGGATTTACCGAAGACTATGAGAGGATGCTAGAGGAGAAATAATTTTATTTTTACAGAATGAGCTATTGTTTGTTTTTTATTGATATGGTGGTTATTTTTTGGGTGGTATTTTATTTTACTGAGGCTGTAAAAGAAAGGTTATTTTGTTAAAGGTTATGTGGGGAAGATAGGTTATTTTATTTCTGTTGACAATTTTTTAGTTTATTTTATTGAGGTGACTATTGTGGTGATGATGGACGGGTTTCTTTTTTGAGGAGTTATTGTTGCTGCGGGTTTTTGGGCTAAGGGTTGTTGCTTTGCTAGGGATATGAATTTGGAGATGGGATTGGGAGGTTAAATATATGCTCTTTTCTATTGTGAGGAATTGGTCTGTACGGAAGGAAAGGTGCGGTTTAAGGAACTTTTAGAGGGATTGGCTATTGCCTTTTTTATTAAATTTGTTGCTGCTACGTAAACTTCCGTCGTTAGTGGTGTCATGTCGTTGTCTCTTTTAATTTCCAAGAAACATTCGTCTGGTTTTGGTTTAAAGATTAGTCTAACTATTCTATTGTCTATTATTAACTATTCTGTTTTTGGATTGGTGTGGTTAAGGTACGTAATTCACAATCACTTTTCTGGTGAATGAATGTTTTGAAGTAAATATTTTCGATCGGAATTCGAACTCAATGCCTACTGGGATCTAACTGACTGCACTCCTGACCCGATGCAGCTCGGTTTTCCGTAAATCAGATCTGTTCGTTTCCGTAGCCCAGCTAATTTTGCAGCCAGAGGAATTTTCAATATTTTGTTCGGCAATCAAAACTCATTATTTCTTTGCTGTTAATAAGGAAACAAGAGCTTTGAACTTTTTGTAACAGCATGTAGTTGGCGTCAATTTCAGATATTGTATTGAAATAGTAGCGCACATTAAAATTAATATGTTTTTGTGACACATTTCGAAACACAAAGGAGGTGAGAAGCTGAACAGAAATCGTCTTACTGTGTAAAAGAGTCTCATAAGAATAGTTTTAGATTTGAGAAAAAGAAAGAAAGTACGCTTTCATAAAATTAGAAAGAGACAAACTTACTTAGCGCTAAACAAGCACTCCGTTCCATTGTGGGATTCGTCGGCATTATGAGCGCATAACTTTTGGTTTATACAGTGCAGCAGGAAGGCACCACATACTGTCGTACTTCATTCTTAACTTCGGACGCTCTATAAATTCAAACATGGACTTCCATAAAATTAACAATAAAGTAATAACTACATTAATAATAAAGGCAAACGACAAAATCCCTGGAAAATACAACAAAAGAGCAGGAATATGCAATTTCTTTAAAAATTATAAAAGTATTCATTTGATTCGATTACGGCCTTTTGGAATCTATTCCATCGAAAGCGAAGGAATCTGAACGTCTCCACAATAATTAAAAGAAAAGAATCGGAACGTCTCTACCACCTAAAAATTTAGTAGGTGTAGTATTACTCGCGCAACTTTTCTTGGAAGATGACCTAGCTTACCCCTCTCTGGCACAATAAACAGTTGAAGGCAAAAGCTCCCAGCGAGCACTGATGACAACATTCGAAATACATCTTCACTGGCGCAAAATAGAAAAAAATTTCCTTTGAAGGCGAGAACTTCAGTCCGTTATTTTCTCCAAAAAACTAAATAAATGACTGAAGCAGGTAAATATCTATCACAGGAGATACCTCGAACTCCTGAGAAAGTTAGAACACAAATTATTGAAAACGTTTCGAAGGTATGACTGATTTTCCAGACATTGGCATTGCTTCATAAAATCTAGTGGCCAATTTTCTAACTAATACCCCCACTCTACCCGCATTTCTTCACTACCGTTCAAGAAAAGTTGCGCGAGTAATAACATGCGTGGTGGAAATAACAAATAACATCATGGTTCATTATTTCCACCATCCATTTCCACGCATGTGAGAATTACTGTGAGGGTGGTAATTTGAAAAGTATCTTGACTTTCGAATGATTTATCCAAAGAAACCGTTTTATTAGAAATAAGTATACAATGGAAGGAAAATATTATGAAAATCCATTTTGTGATTATGCACCTAACAAGGAAAAAACAGTGAAAGAAGACGGAGAGGTTAATTAAGAGTGTCTAATAATTTGTGTTAGAATAATAATGCCCAGTACATTATTATTCCTCTTGCATGTAATGTCAAATAAGCTTTTTAAATTATTTACTTATTTGTACTACATTATTTTCAGTTACATGGTGAATTTTTAGAGAATATTAAAAGCGTTTCTGTTACATTGTTCCAAAAATTGAATTCATCTCTTGGGGAAATGGGAAAGGATGATTATTCAGTGTATACTGGAACATCAGGGATTGCCTTCCTTTATTTTCTTATGGCTATGAAATTAAAGAAACCGGAATACTATAAAGTAAATATAAGTTTTCAGCTGAGAGATAGTATTTTATATGTTTGCATTGTGTTCATATGTGTTGTTGTGTTACAGAAGAGTTTGAAAATTTTGGAAAATACTTTTCCAAGATTAAAAAATCGCCGAGTGAGTTTTCTGACAGGAGATTCTGGTCCTTTGGCATTGGGGTCTGTGATGTATGATCGGTTGGGGATGCCAGAGGAATCATTGAGATGTGCCCACAGGTTTTGTTGTTGACAATACTTTATTGTGGACTTTATGTGTTATAATTTGACTTATAATTATTTTTTTCAGAGTTAAGGAAATTTTACCAACCATTGTGTCACTGAATTCAGATCTTCCAGATGAAATATTGTATGGCAGAGCTGGCTATTTATATTCACTTTTGTTCATGAATAAGTACGTTGGAGCAGGGACTATTGAAAATTCTGTGATTAAAGAAGTTTGTATTCTCACTGATAATTGTATAATAACTTTCATTAGAAGAACAATATTAATAGCATCTGTGTATTTAGGTTGTTACAGCAATACTTGCATCAGGAAAAAATAGAGCCATTCGAGAGAAACGTAAAGTTCCCTTAATGTATATGTGGCATGAGAAGTACTATTTGGGAGCAGCTCATGGTATTTCTGGTATTTTGTTCTTATTATTGCAGGTACAACCTTATAAGTAATATATTTGCTAATTAATATTTCTCAAGAAAGTTATTGTAAGCCTATTAGAAGTGTTGCTCAACATCTTCAACAAATTGGATTGCACTGTTGATACAAATACATTTTGTTACCTGTATTTACAGAACATTATTACCATTTGGTGCTAATTTATTGACTAGATTAGAAAATTATCCATATGATTCCAATCTCACTTTTTGAGTTACAAATTCAGGAACCCTAACATTGCATTGCCTCTTACCTGCTTTTGGTGGATAAATACCAATTTTCATTTTGTGCAAAAAATATTTCTATAATTATTACCCACAATGTAAAAATTATGTCCATATGGTATCCAACTTCAGCCCTCTATAAAAAATTTGCTTATGATACCTATAAGTTATTTTACAACACACTACCAGATGACATTAAACAATCAATACTGATACACAAGTCCAAATGCCAGGTAGAATATTAGCTGCTGCATAACTTTTCTTTTTCTGTTTGTAAAGTGTGAAGTGAATATCAAAAATTAAAATTAATAAATATATAAAAATAAAAGAAATATTTATCGCCTTATGTATAATGTGCTAAGAAAAGAAAGAAAAGATGATGAATTTTTCCCTTTTAAAGGGACACAAAACCCCATAAATGTATTACTTCTGTGAAAGGATTTCCTTCCCTCTTCCTCAGGGATGAATCAAGGAGATTATAGAAAAATTTATTGTAGCCTATATGGATAATCAGGTGCATATGCAATGTACGAAACAAATTATGCCACAACACACTTAACTATTGTTCAAAACTTTGAAAAATAACATTCCAGATCTTTAAAACCAGTATTTTGTATTCTGAAAGTTTTTTCAATCTGTAAACTACCAAATGAGATCTTTTTGAATATTACATTTGATGATTGCATCACTGGCATGGATTGCTAGAAACTCTGCAAGTTGCGATCCAATATGGAGCTATTACTTTCCCCTATACATATAGAGTAAGTTATGTAATGCTGCGGAAAGTCAATTTTGACATTTCAATGACAATACACGTTTTGGGGTTCACTGATATCAAAAAAGTGGTTCTTTTCAAAAATTTTGTCCATCTGTAAACACCCCTAGTGGCTAAACTATGCATAAGATTTTTTCCAAATGAAGACACTCCTGTCCATCAGGCATGAGTCCAAGCTTTGAGATGTTGAAAAAAATTCTTTAAAATTTGGAAGTATTTTACATGAAGCATGACGGACATTTTCAAATTTTTTCTTTAAATTTCTTGAATAAATAGAGTGAAATACTCGTTTCTAGGTGGCATAGGTCCTGTTTTTACTGTTAACTCTGAATTTACGACAATTGCAGAAGACTGAATTTGTTTCGGCATCTTTCTACAACTACAATATTAAAAATAGAGATTTTTCCTTCAAATATAATTTGTTGCCCATAAATAGTTCTTTTGAGGTCACATACATTTTTTTTAGAAATTTGAGTAGTTTTTGAGCAATATTGGGTGCAATAATTTCAATTTTAAATATTTACAGAAACAAGATTTTTTCAAAAACGGCTCAAAATTTTTTCTTTAAACCCTTGGTAGGGATAGTGGTAAATGTACTCTATGTGATGACATAAAGACCAAATTGCTCTATTCTTTTGGTTTTTCAAAAATTATAAAAATTTCATATTTTTGACTTGTCATTAATTGTCAATTTATGTAATTAATATTTATATTAGAGACAGTTTGTTCACATAATTGTATTTAAGAGTACATAAGCTTTAAGTGATGTCATAGGAAGTTTCTCAAAAACTCTTCTATGAAAACTAGCTCAAAATTCTGCATTTTCAGAAACACTCTAACACCATTTTCTCATAAATGGCTCCAAATTTTTTCTTCAAACTTGTTTTTTCAATCTGTTAACATGCACATTTCCAGCAATTTGTAACCACTGCTATATTTGGGAGTTAATGTGCATCAAATGGCTGCTAATGAAGTTATTTCCAATTTACAGTAGAGCTTAAGCGCCATTTTCTTAAAAATAGCTCCAGATTTGAAAGGAAATTGACATTTAGGTTGAGGTTTTATTGTTATTTAATATTCTTAAAACAATATGTACGTTCTAGTATTAGAAAACCAAAAAATTGAACTAATTATAAAAAAAAATGTACCTTGGGTGCCTTTAGATGGCAGCTGGCAAGAATATGTGGCAAGTTTGTATAGCTAGCAGAGATCAAAGGAAATAGAAAACTAATACAGGAAAGTTTGTGACATTCTGTGGCACCACTAGTTTTTACTTTTAAACAATGATCTTTGGGGCCCTTCTATTATGTTTTTGGGGGTTTTCATTCTAGTATTTGGGTACTCTAGCTACACAGAACTTTCTGTTTTCAGCCAGCAGGGAAGGCACCATGCTATTCACCATTGTAATAAATTTTTGATATGTAACTAATTTTGTTATAAAAACCACTTACATTAAATTTTTAAATTTCTGAATTAACAAGTGCAAGTGATGAAGATCTGAGGGAATATTTTGTGAAACCTTTGAGAATCTATGATGAACATGTGTGGTACCATGTGTAGGTTATTGAATGGGAAATGTGCAGGGTGCATGCCAGAAACATATTGCAAACATGCAAGGGAAATATATAGGAAAGTATCTAGGGAAACGTGCAGGGAGCAGATGGAGTGAAGAAATGAGTAATGATTTAAGTGTTCTGGTGCCCCACTATTGGGATGGTCAGAAACATGCAGAAAAGAGAAATTCATGTGAAATATAATTGGTGCAATATTGGGCTTGTAATGAAGGGTTCGTGTTCAAGGATTAAATATTTAGTGCAGATTCAGACCTAACGTTGGGATCCGGTATAATTATTATATCTTTGAAAACATTGATTTACATAGTGGGGAATGTTCACATGTGTTAAGGTAGTTTAATAATAATTCTAATGCATTAATGAATTTTAAAATTGTATAATTCTAAAAGACTGGATGTTCGTTAGAACTAGTAATTAGTTATGCATTGATGTCTCCATCTCAATAAGGTTTTTTGTTTACATTCCTTACATCTATTGAGAAAATGGTTCCTTGCTCCTCATGTCTAAAAGTTTGTTTTTTTTAAAAAAATAAAAGAAAATTAGTAGACTTCTAGTCTGTGGTGCACACTGATTCATGGTTGTTTTGTTTTGTTTTTTTTTTCTGATTTTCTCAGTTGGTTTTTAAATCACAGATAAAATCTAGTAATGGAAGAAATATAATGGCATAATTGTACTCGGCTATTATGAACATTAAATTTTAGATCTTGCAAAGAAAAACAATGTGTAAGGAATATGATCACTCATCCCTGCGGAAAGTTGCAGTAATTACTGATACGGGAGCTGTTATAAGTATTATGAATCAAGTGTTAGCAACATGACTGATATTGGTTTTGAAAATATTGTAAATAAGCTTTATGTTGGAAATATTTGAAATTCAACAGAAATCAATCTGTCACTTGATTTGCTAAATCATCTTGTGCAGCCAATTAATCCATCCCCAAAATCTCAAGCTTTATCCATGCTGCGAAGCACAGAGATTAGTATTAATGACACTTCCTACTTTGTGTCATTAACACTTCAGACGTCAGTAAAATCATTTTGGAGAGAATCAACTGGCTCCAACAGAATCAAAGCAAAGTTGCTGCAGTTCAGAGCTGAAGTAGCTATCCCAATAATAGTGGACATAATTAATTTTTCGTTAATGAGTGGCAAATTTCCATCTGCCTGGAAGACAGCACTTGTCCATTCTCTCCCTAAAAGCACTAATCCTAGTTTGCCTGTTGATTACCATCCCATCAGTATGTTGCCAACAGTATCAAAATTTCGTGAAAAGAGCACCAGGAAACAGATTGAACATCACCTTCAAAATTTCAGTATTTTAAATAAAAACCAATCAGACTTTAGACCTAGTATAAACACAGGAACTGCCCTCATGAGTGTAATTGAAGACACCAGTGGTGTAAAGGACCGTGGTAAAATCACAATTCTCATCCTTGATTTTAGCAAAGCATTCGATTTTGTTGATCACAATATTTTGTTAGCAAAGTAAAAAACATTGGATGTGCTACATCTACTTGCAAATGGTTCTCCAGCTACTTATCTGGGTTGCAACAAAAAGTTGTGTATGTTGGCAGTGTGTCGTGTATCTAGTTGTTAGCACATTGCATCACACAGGGTTCAGTTAGGATCCTTCGCTTTCCTAATTTATGGTAATGATACAGGCAATGGTCATAATGAATTGGACTATTGCTAAACTCTAATAAATCTCAGTGTCATCATATTTTTTGTAATAGAGTAGTGTCATATGCCTTTTCTAAATCTACAAATATAAAATGAATTTGTTGTCCCGCTTCATTAATTTTTCTATTAGCTGTTTTATTACAAATATATGATCAATGGTCAATCTGCCCACTCTAAAACCTGCTTAAAATTCATCTTCTGTACTTTTATAATTTTCTTCTAAAGCAAATTTTAGTATTCATCCATAAAGGTGACATACATTTATCTCTTATTCCCCTATAATTTTTTCATTCATCTTTTTTTCCTTTTTTATGAACTACTAAAATCATACCATTTTTCCATTCTTGAGAGTGATTTTCACCATTTAAACATATTTCAAATAAATTCCTACTTAATTCCCATAGCAGCTTTGTTCCACACTTTATTGATTCTGCATTCATCCCTCTTTCACCAGTTGCTTTTCCATTTTTTTTTTTTTTTAATTTAATGGCTGATTCTAATGTTGACATATCTAAATTTAAAAAATGATTCTCAAATTCTTTAAATACATCTTAAGCTGTTAAAAACCGACTTGTCTTTCAGCTAACAATTCTTCAAAGTATTATTTCCATTTTTGCAATAAAATTCCCTCTAAACTCTCTCTCTTTTCCTTTCTTTTGCTTGAGCTCTTTTATAATAAATTTTATCTTTTATATTCTTTGTGTTTAGCCACTGGAGGTACTTCATTCTTTTGTCCTACACATCTTTTTTTAATTTCTTCACTCCAAAAGTATATAAATTAATGTTTTGTTTTTTCTTTTTCACCTAATGCTTCTTTTGCTGCCATATTAATATTTTGTACTATGTATCTAAACAGTTTTTCTACATTCTCAAATTCAGTTTCAATTGTTTTTCATCCAATCATTTTTGGTACAAATAAGATTTACTTTATTTTCAACACGATTCTTTGTAGTTACCATTTCTTCAGTTCGATTTATTTTGAATGTTTATGTAAAAAAGGAAACAATATATTTCAATTAACTAAATAATGGTCTGTGCCACAACTTGGACCTTTGGAAGCTCTAACATCTTGAACCTTTAATTTTCTATTTTTCCTTATAACATAATTTATTATTGATGATAATTTTAAAGAATGTTAATGACATGTGTATGTAATTATCAAATTTTCAAATTATTTTGATCACAAATATCTATCAATCTTTTAACAGTATTATTTTCAATACCTCCTCAAAAGGTCCAGTTATTTCATTTTTGTCTTTCCTAGCATTTAAGTCTCCAAAAATTATGATATCTCTTGAATAACCTATTATATTGTGTATTTCTTCATAAAATTTATCCTTTATTACCGAATTTTCATCCTCACTTTTTAAACACCAATTTTAGTTAGTGTATTTCCAAATATATCCACACTTACAATTAATACATTTTCATTTTTTGCTTCCCAATTTATTATGTATTTTTAAAGTTTTTTGTTGATTAGTACTGAAATGCCTCATTCCGCACATTTATCCTATAAAAATGAATGTATATTTAACTCCTATAAAAACTCACTCCTATGACACTCCTATAAAAATGAATGTATATTTAAAGGTACGTCTACATAATACCTTTCTTCTTCATTTCCATTATCCAAGATTGTCTTGATTTAATTTCTCTAATTCCTTAATTACATCTAATAATTTATTACTTAAACTCTTTACATTCCATATACCAACCTTTTAAGTTCTCTTCTGAAGCCAATGTCTATTAAATCCCTCTTGTATTAGAATTTTGGGCCCATTAGCTTTAGTCATGTTTTTATTGATGATCAAGTAGCAGGCCTGATGCATCAATCTCCAAATTTGGAGGTCTGTTTACTGCAATTTATGCAACTCTGCCCCTGGAGGTATCAGCTGTTGATGGTTTCATCTAATCTGGAGCTTGAATGTCACCATAGTGCTGCACTATGGTGATGTTCAAGCTTCCAATTGGATGATACTATCAACAGCTGACACCTGCCAGGGACAGAGTTATGAAAATTGCAGTAAAGACTTCTAGTTATTACATATTTAAAATATGTAACACATATTCTCAAAGACATGAGTTCTCAACTACAGCCATTGAAAGTCCTTATTAAAACTTTTACATTGAATTGAAAATTAATTATGAAGTGGAATGTAAATATTTTTGGCATTGTTTTCAGGCTCGAGAATATATAAGTCAGTCAGATCTGCAGAATGCTGTGAGGCCAACCATTGATTTTGTTCAAGATCTCTGTTTTCCATCTGGAAATTTCCCATCATCGTTGGGCAACAGTAATGATCGCTTGGTGCAGTGGTGTCATGGAGCACCAGGAATGGTGGATTTGTTTACGTTAGCATACCATGTATTGATGTTTAAATTTTCATGTGTAAATGTTAATATTATTGTAGATTTATTTATATTTATTGATATTATTTGGCTTTGTAGGTTTTCAGAGATGATAGATACATGCAAACTGCTATCCATTGTGGGAATGTTGTGTGGAATAATGGAATTCTAACAAAAAGTTACGGTATTTGCCATGGTGTTGCAGGCAATGCTTATACGTTTTTAACATTATACAAGAGTACTAAAGTGAGTTCCATGGCTTTTTCTAATGTCATGATATGTTGTATTGAGTTCCTCGCACTTGCATTGTTACTTTGCATATATTTCAGAATGTATTTTTAATAAAATAGAATATTTATTATGCTACATAGGATTACATATAAACACGGTGATAGCATTTTCCAATTCCAATTATTAAAATCTACACAAAAACACAATATTGTAATAATTATAGGTCTACATAATAAAATTTTACAAAATTCATGTCCTAACCCTATCCTGCTGACACTGGCATGATAATATAAATTATTTAAGGATACAGTACTAGTAATTGTAAACCGTAATATCAAATAATTTAACACAATAAACGTATAATGTACAAATAATTGCATATTATATAATCTATTGTCCAATTTAAATGTAGTTACTTATGACAGATCATTAGCTGAACGCACTTATTCAATCAGGGGCTTTGTTACAACTTTAATTTTTGGTATTGAAGCTCTCGATCAGATTGCTCATCACAGCTGATGATTTGTCACAAGTTGGACAATACTTTAGAAATTTTTCGCACTGCAGGAAAGTCTCCAGCTTTACTTCAGGCAGTCTGTAATTTTTTATAATTCTATTTACAAATGATAATTTACCTATGTCTGACCTGTCTTTTTTGCCCAATTTTCAAACTGGGATCCTTCTGCACGAATGATGTAGGTTATGATAATTTTATCCACACCTCCACCCTTGGGGGAACACAGTGAATTGGTTTTAATAACACACAAACACTTGATTTCTCTCTGCATTTCCTCAAAGGTTCCCACAACGTAAATCCAGAAATACAGCATCCTCTCCACAAATTTTATGTGTACTCTTTCAACTGATTTTATTTACCTTTCAACTAACATAGAGAAAAAATGACTTGTTTGAAGAATGGCTGATTTATGACTTATCAATAACTATATTGGACCATGAACATTATTGATCATTAATTGGCAATACTTAAACGATATAAATATGTTTTATTTTTCATTTTAGTAAAGTGTTGAAATATTGTTCTAGAATCCTCTGCACCTCCACCGTGCATGCAAATTTGCTGAATGGTGCACATCATATGGAAAATATCAGAGCAGAGTTCCTGATCGACCACTGTCCCTTTTCGAAGGTACAAATAAAAAATGCTCCATTTTCTTGCAAATAATTCTTTAATGATGAATAATTTTATTTTTTACTGATATGTTATTGCCTTCATTATGGAGCCTAATATACACTGCATAACTTACCTAGATCAAGAGGTTGATGCTAATGCTACATGTAAAGAGGGAAATATAAAAAGACAGCTCAAGTCAAATTAACATTAGTAAATAAGTAAATATGAATCATTAAAATGAGGTAAAAAATAAATTCTTGTATGTTCCATGGACATTATCTGGGTCTATTAATCTCACGTGACAAAAAGCCTTCAGGCAAAAGGCCCTTGGCGCGATCATTAGAACCCTTATAATGCCCTTGGTGCATAAATAACGAATTAATTTGCGTAACATTCATTCGTCCAGTTTTTATTGAAATTTTGAAAGAATACTTTTATATTATGTTCAGATGGAAGGTTTTTGTAGCTTATTTTCAAGCTCAGTCTGTTTTAGTTTTATGCAGGGGTGCAAGAAGGGAGGCTCATGGGGCTGCCCCCACCCCATTCCTCTCCCGTAGCTGATGACATTTAATCATACATGTACATAGTTTTAACTAATTTTCTATAATATTGGAAGTGTAATATCTCAATTAATTATAACTATAATCAAGAAATAAAAAAAAATTATTTCAGCATAAATGAAAAATTCTTTAAGAAAATATCTATTTGGATGCTCGCATATTAAGTCCCACCACAGAAAATTCTTAGATATGCCAGTGGCTTAATAGTTAAGTTTCTATTAAGATGTAGTTTACAATTCAAGCATCCAGTGAGTGAGGGAGCTAACCCACTAAATTTAAAACTTCAATTTATTGACATATTCAATGTGTTCATAAATCGATATTTTGAATTTTGTGTGTTAGCTCCCTCCGTCACTAGATGCCTCAATTGTATTAGAATGTATGTCATTATGATCTCTTATATGTTTCTTTCTTTTTAAAGGACTTGCCGGAGTTGTATACTTTCTGACTGACATCCAAGACCCTGAACATGCATTGTTTCCAGCATATGGATTGTAGATTTTCATTGGAATTATAACTTGACTCTCACACAGTATTTTATGGGCTGCTTTATAGATATGCTTTACTTGTGATGAAAATTTACAAAGAATCAACGAGTATTCATGCAAATAATGCTCATGACTGCTAGAAACAATGTAAATATAGATTTTTTTAAACATAAATGTATGCAAACTCATTATAACTTAATAAATTTACTTTGTGTGACAATTTTGTTCTGGCATTTGGAAAACATGAAAAAAATATACTACTGTGTAATGTTGCCTCCCTGATTCCAAAAAAGTGTTATTTTTTGGGTGATTTTTGTCTTTGGTTCAAAAACATCTGTCCATCTGTAGACCACACTACCACCTCAACCTTTCACAGGATTTCCTACTAATAAAATATTTCCTGATTGATTGGACCATAAATGACCTTGCACATTTTGGGGTATTAAAAAAAAGCTTCTATAATATATTCAATTTTTTCTTAAAAATTCACCCAATGTTTTGCGTGAGTAAGAGCGTAGAAAAAATTTGCAGGAGTTATTTTTTTCTTTCAAATGTGTTATTTCGAAAATTAGTTAAGTCCAAAATGTATTCAACTTTCTCAAAGAAATATTCTTTACTTGCATCTTACTTTCTTTACCATTAAAAATCTTTACAATTACTGTACCAATCTAGTTACATTACTTACTTTCCCATATACATGCATACAAGGTGTGGCTATTAAGTTTCAAGACTGCTCTAATAACACCAGAACAGATGATGTGAAAACGTAACCTTTTAATATGTTTCAAAGTAATCCTCTTCTGCCATAATACACTTCTGTGCTCGGCTGTATAAGAAACAACTTTTTAAAGTCGTCTTTCGGAAGGCTCTTCAATGTCGACGACACGTTCTTGATGTCTTCAACATCCACAAAGCATGTTCCTTTGATCACAGTTTTCCGTGTAGGAAGCAAAAGAAAGTCTGCGGGGGCCAAGTCAGGAGAGTATGGCGGATGATGCAGCTCCACGACCTTCTCCCATTCCGTCGAAAACGGGGACGTACTCTGTGGATTCTTTAACGGAGTCGGGAAAGAACTTATGCATACAACTGTCCTGTAACTGTGCCGGGTGGGACAAATTCATGCGCGATTAACATGACTTTGACTTCAATTTTTTAAATCGAATTTTTTTCTGTTTATGGGAGCTGGGAGAACGCCATTCTGTCCTCTTCTCTCTTGGTTTCATGGTCGTATTGACTGGTGACCACGTTTCGTCACCAGTCAGTATGGAAATCAGGGTCAGCGTCAGCGTTGTCGATGAGTTCACCACACGAGTCCTTTTGGACTTGCTTCTGATCGTCCGATAAACAGTGCGGGACAAATCTGGAACACACTTTGCGTTTCCGCAGGTCTTGCGTCAGAATTTGGCGAACCACCTCTTTGTCAATGTTTAGTTCACTGTCCAGCATTCGAATAGTCAGTCGCCGATCCGCTGTTACAAGTTCGCGGACTTTCTCAATTGTTTCAGGCGTACGCATGGACAACGGCCTTCCAGTGAGGGCATCATCTTAAACACTTTCACGGTCGCCCATACCATTCAAATGAGCTGGAACGGGATAATGTTTTCTCGCCATACACTTGTTTTAACATTGCATGTGTTTCTCTCGCACTTTTACCCAGATTAAAGCAGAATTTGATGTTCACCCTGTGCTTCATTTCAGCTCTTCCACAACACCTTTCCCACTTTACCAGATACGTTTCCATACTCTTTCCCAGTCTAGCACGTTTCTACAACTAACGCGCGCAGTATGGGCAAAGCCATCTTTGTTCAGTTTTGTGAACGCACGGAAAGTACAACGCACGTTCATGCCACTGCGGTGCGATCATTCCTGCCCTTACGGGCATCTATGGCCAATCCTGCAACATAAAGAAAAACTGGTCAAAAATGACTTTAGCCAACTAGCGCGCGCATTGCGTGTGCACAAATGCTAAGCTTATGTTTCGAGTCTCATTTCTGTGTTTCAGATTACTCTTCCTCCAGGAAGTGCTTCGGTCGCGTATACTTCACCCGTTGATCGGGTTGGTATGAGGCGATCTCGGATATGAGAGTTTCCCGAGTCAGCTGCTTTTAAAAAAATGACACTATTTTTGATATGATCAATCAGTAGTGACATTGATAAATCGCGATGTAAATTTTTAATGGGAATGTATCTAGGGGCGCAAAGGGTGGCCGTGAGGCATTCGTTTCGAAATACTTGCAGATTATTCAAATGTGTATTTGCTGCAATTTCCCAACTGCGGCCTAACAATTGCTTTATAATGCGCGCGGCAGTTTGCCGTTGACAGTTTGCTCCGCTTGTGAAACAGGCTTCGCAATCTGCGTCTGGTCTGTCGCGCTTTCTTTCGCACGTTTTCAATGTGCAGATTAAACGTAAGTGGGCTGTCTAATGTGACACCTAAATATTTGACATGTTTTGCCCAATTAATCGCGTCTCCGCACAGCGCGAACGGCTTCGGCAGCGTGAATCGCCGTCGCCGAGAAAAGAGCTGCACTCTTACTCACTTTGACCTTGACCCGTCACAGCTTCAGTCAATCCTGGATTAGTAGTAAATGCAGATCCAAGTACTTCTGGAGAAGCTCGATCTTTTTCGTGGTATTACAGCCGTATAGTCTGCGTACAAGGCGAGTTCCGTTTGAGGGCGCGTGGGAATATCAAATACCTAAGGGCTGAAGAGTATAGGAGCAATCACGCTCCCTTGCAGCACTCCGGCTCGTATGGCGCGGCGGGTAGATTTAGCATTTAGACGCGTCACTTGGAACGTTCTGTTTGCTAGATAAGAGTGGATAAGATGCACAAGGTACAAAGGAAAGTTCATGGATTAAAGTTTATAAGGAGACCGACATGCCAAACCTTGTCAAAGGCACTGGCAACGTTGAGGAACGCTCCACCCATGAACCGGCCCTCTTGAAGTTGCGTCTTATGCGGTCCGTGATTCGCACAAGCTGATGCGTTGTGCTATGACCCGCACGAAAGCCAAACTGCCAAACTTATTTATGACTGAATTATCTGAAATATACTTGAGAATTCTGTTTTGAATGAGTTTCTCGCAAAGTTTTCCAAGCGTGTTTTGGGCTTATGGGCCTGTACGACAAGGGCAATTTCGGGTTTTAATGGCAAATTCTACACCCAAGATTCTGGACTACCCATGGGTTCACCCCTCTCACCTTTATTAGCTGATATATGCCGACCAGGAAGTTAGGGTTTTTCCGGTAAGGGAGCTGATGCTGTGTGCGTGCTCCGAGGTGAAGAGTGGTTGAGTGCCACGATCCACGCCGATTCTCATTTCGATAAGATCGCTCCTGCGATCCGGAGGCAACCAGGCCGTGGTGCGCCAGAACGGGACTTTGTGTCCCAGCGTGACATCCCGGTCACGGAAGCTAGGCTTTTTGTGCGCGCTGTTCAAAAGTAGGAGTGGCGAATCGCCACAATCAAAACATCTTCAATCGGGTTTGGATCGCTCCCGCGATCAGGGGATAGTAGGTCTATCAATAAGAGCTAGGGTGTAGTAAGAATATTAAGTGTAATATTATTGTTTTTGTTTTCCTTTGTTAATAATATATTTGTTTATACGAAAGCTTGTTGTTGTTTGGTCAGCCTGTGAGTAATCCATGACGTCACAGATGATTTCGCTAATGTAAAGTTTCTATACGAGTGTATCTAGGGGCGCAGAGGGTGGCCCTGAGACACTCGTTTTGAACTGCTTGGAGTTTGTTTTTGAGGAGATAATTTGCTGCAATTGCCCAACTTTGGCATCGCGTAGTCTATTTGCGGTTTATTGCTTTTATTGCCTAATTAGGTTGCTTTATAAAGCGTGATGCAGTATGCCGTTGCCAGTTTGCCCTCCGCTTGTGAAACAAGCTTGGCAATCTGCTCGGGTCTGCCCGCGCTTTTCCTGGCGCACATTTTCGATGTGCAGGATTGAATGTCAAGAGCTGTCTAAAGTACTCCTAAATAGTTTGACATTTTTGGACAAATTAATCGCGTGCTCCGCGCATTTAGGCGCGAAGTGGCGCTTTGGCCGGCACATTGGAAATGCTCTGTCCCGGCGGTGTGAGGGTGTAACTGTAGCTCTTTACATTTGACTTCTGACCCCTGGCACAGTTTGGCAGGCCACTACCTGGGATATAGATAACAAATGTTGGATGCACAAGTACTTCCTGGAGATTAAGCTCGATACTTTTTGCATACCGTGGCTTATTACATTGCCGTATCGTTCTGGGCATACAAGGCGGAGCTCTGTTTTGAGGGTGGGTAGGAATATCACGCACGTAAAGGCCTGAAGAGGCGTAGGAGCAATCCAAGCTCCCATTGCGCACGCTCGGCCCGTACGGGCGCTGGGCGGGTGGATTTGGCAATTCAGGAAGCGTCACTTGAAACGTTCTGTTTGCTAGGTACGGAAATGGATAAGATGTATAAGGTATATAGGAAACGGTTCATGATGGAGTTTGTAGAGGAGGCCGCGTGCAGACTTATCGAAGGCGCTGGCAACATCGAGGACACTCCACCAGTGAATCGGCGCTCATTGAAGTTGCGTTTTAATGGCGGCGCCGTGATTCGCACAAGCTGATGCGTTTGTGCTGTGTCCCTGCGCGACAACCCGACTGCTCTTATTCAACAGTCGCATTTTCTGAAACATATTTTAAAAATTACTGTTTTGAATAGTTTTTCACCACAAAGCTTTCGACCTGTTTAGTTGGCTAATGGCGCTGTACGACTCGGGCTTTTCGGATTTTTTCCCTGCTTGTAAAAGTTAAAAATATGTTGGGTGTTTTCCACTGACTTCGGGAAATGCGTGAAACATAAATAAAGCATTAAACGTGCGACTAAAAACACTATGGCTTGCTGCGGGCAGCTTTTTCCAGACGTCCGTTAGAGATGCCGTCGGGGCAGGAGCTTTTCTAGCTTCAGCTCCGAGACGCCGTTTAACTTCATCCTCTGAGCGAAACTCGCTGTCGGCTGGCGCGTGCAAGGCGCGCCATTACGTTTTGTGTTGTATTCGACAACATGCGGTATCGGCGGCGCCTCTTGAATCCGGTTGAAACTAAGATTCTCAAGACATTAGCTGGAGTTCCGCTTTCCTCTTCGATTCTGCGGCTCTCCTGTGCAGGTCTGAAGCGTACGGCACCGTTATTGGCTTTTCTGGAAAGCATGCGAGTGACTCGGCACAGTGAATTCATCTTCAGGTTTGAGACACTGACAAAAGTCAATTTGGCCGCATTTCGCTGGATTTGCGGTATTCGCCAGGTAATTCGATTTCTACTTTACGTTTCAAATGCGATTTAGCTCGCTTTTATTCAAGCGGGTTGTCGCGTGCTCTGCCACAATTCTGCGCGCCCTGTTTTTTCCCTGGAAATAAGTTTAGTTAGATAGGGGATTATAGTTGCTCCTTTTCTGGGACGTGCTTCTCGCTGCTGAGTTTAGGTCTGTCAGTCAAAGCTTCGGCAAATTGTTCTGCTCGAACAGCTTCTATTATCTGCTGCGGGGTCTGGACAGGGCAGAAATGCATCGGGTATGTCTGCTGCTGCAAGCTCCGTCTACGAATTTCTTCTCGAGACCGTGCGCCCTCTTCTGTGCGTCGTGGGTTGCAGTCGATAGGGTTATCCCAGGGCCGCGCCTTCCATATTCGCTATGCATCGGGAAGTGTCAGAGGAGAGTTCGTAAATGGTGGTTTAAGTAGTAGGGAGTGTAAGTGAATATTTCTGCCAAAGCGCTATATCTAAGTTTTCGGGCTTGCAGTTCGTTCTAAAGGAATACTAGGTGGGCGTATTGGGTGCGTCTATCTCGCAGCCGTTTTTGCAATCGGCGGTTGCTTTCAGGCTTTACGGCCGCGGGGACAGGTAATTACGGGAGCTTCCAGGCTCATGTGTTTGGCATTAAAATCGCCAGCCACAAGTGTTGGAGTTGTGGTTAACCTCTACTAGTTTTTTTGGCTATGTCCTGCAGGCTATAGGGCGCTGCGTATCCGCGGTGCGATCGGGGCGTGGCGTAGATGGATCGAGACGCAGCGGCCCTCGCTCAGTCTGACGAAGAACAGCAGTGTGCCTCGGCGTGCTGCAGCTGGCAGAAGGTGCTGTATCATATGAATTTTATGATTTTTAAATAAATAAAGGTATTGTCAGTAGCTCAATAGTTTAATTCAACTCATGATAGTCGATCGCGTAGCGATCATCTTCAAGCTAAAATGTGAATATACAAAATATATAAACAGTGTATATTGTCTACAGGATGCGTAAGCAAACTGGGAGTCGTACATACTTGCAGTTCTGGGCCGAAAAAACTTCTGCGAATTTTTTGAGCGTGTGTCTGTATTAAAGCACAGTCGGTCGCAGCGGGAGGGGTCGGGAAGAGGGGTGGGGTGCGGGTGAGAGGATCGTAAACGCCGGGGGTCTGGTGGATGCTTGAGAGACGGTCGGCGAGCGAAGGTTAGTGGAGTGGGGAGGGCTGGGGGTGGGTTAGGGGTGTACACTTTGTGCTAA